TCCCACATGGCTGACCGTGGTTCCAGTCCTGCACCCGGTGGCTTGCTTTCTCACTTTCTTTCTCTCTTGCTCTGTCCCTTTCTGGTCAAATTAAAATACATTTTTTTTTAATGCCTTCCATTGCTTAACATGTTCCTCTACTCCTGGATGAGCCATGCTACTGCTGGCCTGTACAAAGGAACTGCTTCATCCCACTCACAACAGAAGGAGGTGTTCACAAAGTTCATGGAAAACACACATCATGAACACACTATGCATGGATTCCTAAAATTTTTTGCACAAAAATTAACTTGTACCTTAGTTCCGTTTCGCACACTGTTTCAAGTCACTACATATCTTCAAAAAACCCAGATTCTAGAACACTCAAACTGTGTTGAGCCCTAAGGTCCCACCCCTGACAGCATGGCAGGCTGGACTGTGTGGAAAGCCCTCTGATTTACAAACACTGAAAATGCTGGCTAAGATTGGGCTATCGAACAGTCCCTCCGACATTCTCTTTGCCTCACAAGGAATCAGGGAAACCCATAAGAGCCAGTAATGGAGACAGCACCAGGGAGTGGGCATCCAAGCCAAGGACTCGCCAGGAGACACCTGCCAATGTCAGAAGGCCACAAAGCTGGGGAAATAAGACCAAGGGTCTGGCTGGCCCAAAGCAGAATATCAAATCGAGATCTCTGCATAGAGCCTGGCTGTGGTAAGGTGATACACACTCAGCAAAAAGCAAGGGAGGGACGTAAGAAACCCGTCCACTGGTGAAGGCTGCCCAGGTGGAAACCTGTCTGCCTCATGTTCAGTGCACGTGGGAAACAGCCTGCAACCACATCCACCACAGCCAAGGGTTTGAGTTTACACCACCTGCAGGGCCAAAGAACCCAAGCCTAGTAACTAAGGTATTTTCAGATTGGTAACAGGGTTCACTGGACCTGGAAGAATCTTCTCAGGAGGAAGATAATCTCAAGCCAGGCCCCTTAAGAAATCTACAAATCAAGATCCACCAAATATAAGCACACACCAAATTCCAAATGCAGAAAGAAATGATTTATCACAAGTGAGAGACAGAAAACCAAGTAGAATTAGACTCCCAAGCATATTAGATATTTGTTAGCTGGAAGATGCCAATTAAGCATGCTGAAATGTTTATAAGTGAGAGAGAACAGATAAAAAGTAGCAAAAATGATTACACAGATTTAAAGAATAAAACGTAAAATTCTAGAAATCGAAAAGTCAGTGGTTGATGGGATCAGCAGACAGCATAAGGGTTACATCACTGAACTCCCACGTGGTTGACTGTGGTTCAAGTCCAGGACCTGATGGCTTCAAACTCGCGCCAGGTGTGTACTGAAAATCCTAAGAGGAGGATGGAGGAGAAAAGATTGCGGGGTGGTCATACCCCCAGAGGGTGATTTCCTGCTTTTTGTCTCTGTGTTTTTCTCTGTCTCTCTGGCAAGCGCATGTGCCCTATAGCAGAAACCTCTATTTAAAAAAAAAAAAAAAAGTCAATGGACGAGGGGGCAAGAAGGTGGTGTAGAGGTTAAAAGTGCTGCACTCCCACATGGTCAAACACAGCGCGAGCACCACATGTGGTGGCTTAAAAGTCACACTATACGTGTGTGTGTGTGTGCGCCCAAAAACCCAAGAGAAGAATGGAGGAGAAGGAATTATGGTGTGTCCATCTCCCTTGGAGGGTGGTCTCTCTCTCCTACTCTGTCTCAGCTCTGGTGAGCACATGCACCCTATGGCAAAAACCTTAAAAAAAAAAATAAGTCAATGGATGAGATAAACATGAACTATAAGAGTCCAAGAGACAATCTGCAAATTGGAAGACTGGGGAATTATTCAGAGTGCAACAAAGAGAAGTGGAAACTATGCACCAGTCCCACCGCAGAAAGAACAAGGTGGTCTAACACACAGGTGGCCTGAGCACCAGACAGAACCAGTGGAAAGACATTTTGTAAAGGTAACGGTTGAGAATTTCCTACAACCGACAGGAAGCGAGTGCAAGAAATCCTAAACAGGAAAAATAAAAATAAATCCACATGTAGAGACACTGGAATGAAGTCACAGAAAATTAAAGACAAGGAGATCTTAAAAGCAGCCTAAAGGAGAGAAGGAGACTTGAATGGCAGTGACAGTGAGAGCGAAAGCCCAGGTCTCAGGAGCATCGGTGTAAGTCAAAACCAGTAACACCTTCCAGGGCTGTGAAAAGGTAACTGTCACGCTAGAATTGTGAAAGGCTAGCAAAGCTACCTTTCTTTTCCTTTCTTTCTTTTTTTTTTTTTTTTTAAAAAAAAAGAGAGATTCTGCCATAGGGCTTATGCATTTGCCAGAGAGACAGAGACAGAAAGTGAGAAATCACCCCCCCAGGGAGGATGGTCATGCTTCAATCCCTTCTCAGGATCTTGGGCATGCACACACACACCCAGTGTGAGTTTTAAGCCACTGGGTCTGTGACTCGAACTGCGGTCGTCTACGGGGGAGTCCAGCAACGTAACCATTATACTCTCTGCTGGTCCCACGAAGTCACCTTTCAAGAATGAGGATGAAATAAAGATGTCAGTGACACAAACAGCTCGTGTGGCCAACAGATTCTCACAAAAGAGACTGCTAAGAAGGTACTTTCAGGAGATTAAAAAAACATCATTCCAGAAAGAAAGGTCTAAATTGCTGAAAGGAAGTGAACAGAGATTCAAGTAGATGTGTATAAAAATATTTAAACACTGGGCCAACAAACGGCACAGAGGTTAAAGTGGCTGGATCCCATGTGGCTGACTACACAGGTTAAGTCCCAGACCTGGTGGCTTGAAAATCACTCGGTGTGTGTGTGTGTGTGTCCCTCCCCAGTATACCAAGAGGAAAAAAGAGGAGAAAAGAATGCAGTGTGGGGAGCAGCAGTTGGCGTAATGGCTATGTCGCTGGATTCCCATGTAGTCGACCACAGTTCGAGCCCCAGACCTGGTGGCTTAAATACATGCTGGGTGCATGTGCATGCGTGCCCAAGATCCCAAGAGGAGAATGGAGGAGAAGGGATTGCGGCGTAGCCATCCTCCTGGGGGGTGATTTCTTGCTTTCTGTCTCTCTGTGTCTTTCTGGAGAGTGCATGTGCCCTATAGCAAAAAACAAACAAACAAACAAAAAACAACAAAAAAACTCTACCAAAAAAAAAAAAAAAAAAAAAAAAGGAGGGTGACCACCCCTTCCAGGGGGTGATAGAATGGAGTGTGACCATCCCTTCCAGGAGGTGATTTCTCACCTTTCCTCTCTCTCTAGCTCTGTCTCTGGCAAGCACATGCAGCCTACAGGAAACTTAAAAATAAAAAAAGATTCAAATAAATGTACACTAAAAATATGTAAACATTAGGACAGCAGGTGGAATGGTGGTTAAGGTGATTCGAGTCCCAGACCTAGTAGCTTGAATAATCACACCAGGCGCATATGTGTGTGTACCCCAAATCCTAAGAGAAGAGCAGAGAAGGGATTTCAGGGGATTTCTCACTTTTTTCTCTCTCCAGTGAGCCCATGTGCCCTATGCTAAAATAAATTAAAAAAAAAGACAAAAAAGAAAATGTAAACATTAAAGGTAGCAACGGTGATAGCGATTTAGGGTTACATACTAGAATAAACTGTATCTAGTCCTTCTTATCCCAACCAGTCAAGCGCCATGAATCACGACAAAGGACCACAATCGCAAAGACGGCAGCTGCGCAGGGTGCGTTTTGGGGCCGCACCTCACGGTCGGGCGTGGACAGACACTTCTTTGAACGCTGATACCGTGTTTGGCACTGAGTGGGGCTCAGCCTAAGTTAGATGAAAACATGAATAGATGAGCAAACACCACACATCTCTGTGTTCCTGTCCATTAGCAGCGAACGCTATACTGTGCGTCTGCAAAAACACAGGCTTCGTGGATACAGGTGAACACAGGAAGGCAATCTGCCGTCCACCCGGGGCGATGCATTCAGCTGTTTGCTAAGTGGCAGGTACCTTTTCATTTAGCGGGAGTCTGACGGTATGAGACAATAAGGTTCATTTTTCAAAAACTAAAAGGAACAAAAGAAAAAAAGCCCATAAACCTTTGGGGTAGAATTTACTTATGTAAATACGACTTGTGTTGCTCTTCTGACCCGACAGAAATGTGACCCACCCAGAAATGTGAAATTTAACTACAAGAAATGCAGGGTCTGCATACTGATGTTTGCAACGAAGCTAAGTGAACAGCCTCTATAAATTCACAGATGAGCTAAGATTTTAAAAAAAGGGGGAGGGATGAGAAAGACAATTGGGGAGGGAGGGGGCTCTAGCGAGAAGGAGTAAATCATACACAAAACAGCCAATAAAAAAATAAAAAAGCAGTTAATATACATGAATAATGGATGTCTGATTTAAAAGCAGTTTACTCCGATATGATGTAATTTTTGACAATCAGCCAGAGAGACTATTTTGTAAGTCCTTGCCAGAGATAAGTCATAGCGTGAGGCTTGGTAACAGGCGCTATCTGCGAGCATGTGGAAAATGACTTTCACCGCCGTCCCAAAGGTGACTTTCTGTTGGCAAACAGAACCTCGCCTCTCAGGTGCACTTAGCGGCGAGCAGCAAGATGCAGAGCTTGAAGAAACGCTCCCCGACGCGAGCGCGGCGCCCCTCCGCAGTTTCCATGGCACGCTCTGGCACGCTCCCGCGCAGACTCAGCACTGAGGGAGCAGCAGCCCGGCCGCTTTCATGCTTAAGTTTTAATTGGAGTGACAAGCCCACGAGGCCAAGATGTTTCAGGGATGGGACGGCGTTGCCGAGCGTCGCCAGGAGCTGGGTGGGCAAGGCCTGTGTGCACTCCCCACCGCCACGTGCCAACGCACCTGCAACCCCCACTGTTCCAGGACTGGACTCTTCCCGGGGAGGCGGTGCCAATCACTGCAGCCTGTGCCAAGCGTAGGGGCTTTGTGATGTGGGCAGATGTCTACAAAGGACCAGAGCAAGGCCAAACCAACACCTATTGTGACCTGAGCCTGAAAGGGCCCAGAGCAGCAGCGAGAGCACACGCGGGGGAAGGTCCAGGCACGTGCCACGCACAGCCCCACCAGGGAGCGCTGCGAGGCTGGGCACGATAAAGGCAGACGGGCCCTGTGTGCGGGCGCGGTGTGGGGCTGCTCTGCTTAAGCGTCTTTTTAGATCATCTTGTCCCTGGGCTAGAACAAGGCTGATAAGGCTGAGACACGACCACAAAGAACTAGGTAATGGTCACGGAAACGTTCACTGTAGTTAGGCCAGTGGAGAGATTATAATGGTCATGCAAATGTATGAGTGAAAGCTGAAAATCCTCACCTCCCCTTGTAAGCTGGCAACCTGCCTCATTGTAATGAAGAGTTTCAGAACCCCTCACAGATACTAGCCACAGGTAAGTAGTCACTGTCCCCAGGAGAAAGAAAGTTCTTATCCAAACTACTTTGCAGGAAGGAAACTGAGACTTCAATCTATGTAATTCTTTCAAATTAGAGCAACTTAGGCATTATTTTGTAAACGGAGAGATAAAGATGACAAGGGAGAGGGTCATGTCCAGCCATCTGCAGGCCTGCAGAGGTGGCGGACACTGCACAGGACAGTCAGGACGCTGGAGGCAGGCACGTGGATGGCCTCTTCCTTTGGCACAGCCTGGCAACCCCTAGAGGGCCGCCACGTTAGACAGGACAAAGGCTGAGACGGCAGACGGGCAGAATGTGGCCACCGTCGCATGGCATCGCTGAGACGCACGGCAGCAGAAGGGGGAGACTAGAGTACTGCAGCGAATCAGCCTTCAAGGTACGATGAGAGTGCACCCATGGGCTCCCTGTATCCCCCAGTCATAACCGCTGCTAATCCCGCCACAGCGCCCGCCCGCAGCAGTGTCAGGGGAGATGTGAGCTCGGCAGGGCCCCACACCGAGGGGAAGGCTCTGCGAGTGATAACCAGGATATGCCTTCCACGTTAGTCCTGTCGGGACACCGTTCCCTTTGACCCTCAGCCACCAAGAGGGAGAGGAGGCCAGCACTACCGTCTATGTTAGGTTGGTTTAGTTTTTGTTATAAGGCATGTGCACTCGCCAGAGACGGAAGGAAAGAGAAATCATCCCCCAGGGGATGGCCAGGACACAATCCCTTCTCCTTCTCCTCTTGGGATCTTGGGCACGCACATGCACCTGGTGTGAGTTTCAGGCCACCCGGTCCAGGACTCGAACTAGAAAGTCAGCCACGTAGGGTCAGCGCCTTACCTCCATGCCACCTGCAGGTGCCACTACTGTCTACATTTTGTACATCAGTAAACTGAGGTTTTAGAGAAGTTTTGAATAACTTGTGCCGAACTACAAAGGTAATGAAAGGGGCTGAGGCCACAGCAGGTGAGCCCGGCTGTTCTCACGCATGCTACCTGCTACCCAATCCCAACGCCGCTTCCTGATTCCTGTCCAGACGGCTGTTGGTAACGGCTAACGTGGACAGGGTTCTCTTACGGGCAGAACGCTGCCACCACTCGCTGCCCACCACCCGTGAGGTGAGAGGGTGATTTTACTCACTGCACATGTGAGGGGATGGGGGGGAGCACCCGCCTCGTACCCGGGTGGTGGGCGTCCCAGTTCTTGCTCTTGATTTATTTTTTAGAGGTTTTGCCATAGGGGAAGTGCACTCACTGGAGGGAGGGAGGGAGGGAGGGAGAGAGAGAGAGAGAGAGAGAGAGAGAGAAACAGAGAGAAAGTCAGAAATCACACCCCTCCACACCCGGGGAGAGGGATGGCCACGCTTCAATCCCTTCTTCGTTCTCCTCCCAGGATCCTGGGCATGCATACACACGTGCCAGGTTTTAAGCCGCCAGGTCCAGGACTCAAACTGTGGTCAGCTGTGAGGGAGTCCGACGTAACCATCATGCCATCTGCTGGCCCCAGTTCTTGCTCTTTAAACCCCTGCCCCGGGGTGCTCACAGTGGGGTCTGGGACTGACAGCACATTCGACATGCACATTCTCAGGCCTGCCCCAGACCCACTGGATCAGAAGTCAGGGTGGGGCAGGAATTCCTTTTTGTTTTGTTTCTTAATTTGCCAGAGGGCACATGCGCTGGCCAGAGGGAGAGAGAGAGAAAGCACCCCCAAGTGGGGTGTGGTCACACTGCAATCCCTTTTCCATTTCTCCATACTCTTGGCATTTGGGTCCACGACCCACATATTTTCAAGTCACCAGGGCCAGGATTTGAACTGCCTGGTTTGCCTGGGGGGATATGGCTCCCCTAGCCCACTAGCCCATGGGGCCAACCACAATTCCTATCATAATCAGGCCCTTTTCAGGTTCTAGTGCCCACCAGCATGTGAGAACTCCTGTACCACAATTACACTGCCTTCCAGGACAAAAAGAATTTCAGCCACTGGGGCCAGCAGGTGGCATGATGGTTAAGGCGCTGGACTCCCACATGGTCAACCATGGTTTAAGTCCTGGCCCTAGCAGCCTGAAAAAAACGTGTATGCACATGCCCAAAATCCTGAGAAAGGGACGGCAGCACGGCCTCCCCCCACCTCCCGCCCCCGGGGAATGATTTCTCACTTTCCTTCCGTCTCTCTCTAGAGAGAATACACACCCTATGGCAAAAACCTAAAGAGGAAAAAGGGGGGAAAAAAAAGAGGATTTTAGCTGTAAACTCTCAGCTATATATGATCACTTCCTGCCTCCCAATAGCTGCCAATCTGGGCAAGCAACATGCCAGGCAATAACGGGATCAAAATGTGAGGTGTGAATCCCGGCACCGTGAAAGCTCAGAGGAGGAAGCACCTCAGTGAGAGCGAGGACAGTTGGTGAGGCTGCTTCTGATCAGCGGGCTCCGGGCAGACCTTTCCCGACAGGAGAGGAGGGCATGGTACTCCGAGTCCCCGCCAGGAACGACCCTGCTCTCTCAGGACTGTGCCAGCCTGGCAAAGGGCCCGGCTACGGCAAAGGGCTGGTTTGGAGGCTGGGCGCTAGGCTGGGGCCTGATTTGCCAGTCTTGAAGGCCAGGCTGCAGGTGGGCACCAGGGTCTTCACCCTCAGGCCTCAGCTAAAACCAGAAGGGGCCACGAGGAAGGGGACTACCAGGTGATGTGAGCGTGCCAAGGTGGGGAAAGGACGGGCAAGCCGAGGAGAGGAAATGCAACTCGGGGAGGCACGATTTTTCTTCTCATCTTCAACAGACATTTAAAAACTACCGTGAACATAAGGTGAGAGTTGACAGCTGAGGAAATGCCACAGTGCCAAGGAGCCACTCGGGCAGTAGGTGGAGCCTGGATCTCCCCCAAACACCCGAGGAGCCCTGGGTATGGAACGCAGGGCGGTTAGGCAGTCATCCCAGAGGGAGCCGGAGTCTCCCCCCGCAGTTATCTATGGAGGGTTTACTCGGTAAGTTAACAATACACCGACACACTCGGGGAACGCTGGAATGCTTTAAAGGGGAACTGTGCGTCCATTAGAAAGACTCATGTGCAACTCAATAATTGATAAGTTAATTATAAATCCACTCCGCAACACAGTGCCTTAGAGAAGACTGGAGTGTCGAGTCAGTTACTAAATCATACTCTTCTATATACTGACCAAAAAGCTGAAGTTCTCTACTCTGCGATTGTTTTGTTGGTCTACTTTAAGCTGGTGTGTGTATTTGGAAACAGGGAGACTTTGTAAATATTCTGAAATTCAGACTTATACAGGCCTCTCCTGCCTACTCTCCCCCACACCAACACTGTCAGGCCGCCTGCCTGGCTGTAACCGGTGCCCACAGCCTGTCCTACAGTGGCTGCTTCACCTGGAAGCAGAGGCAAACAGTTCGGAGTTCCAACAGGCCTCCCCGGGACTGGCATCAGCTGAGAAACAAGGCGATGTGTGCGCTAGCCCACCTAGCTGACCTAGCTGCTGCCCCAAGGGTTTACTCAGGACTCGGAGGGCACCAAGAAACCAGTCATGCAGATATGAGCAGGTGGCATCGACAGCAATCAACTCCAAGTTCACGCTCTCCCATGGGTGTGGGGTACTGAACTGGGGTGGAAATTCCACGTAAATAACTGGGGAAACCATTAGAAAAATTAGGCCCTAAATAAAACTGTAAACTTGATTCAAAAGCCAAAGGAGAAGAAAGACGATGCACATATACGCCAACGTCATGGCTTTATAAACTTGCTGGGAGCCTCAAGAACACAGACTAATTCCTTTACAAATTAGAAAATGAGGGGACCAGCAGTTAGCATAATGGCTATGTCGCTGGACTCCCACATGGTCGACCGCGGTTCGAGTCCCGGACCCGGTGGCTTAAACTCACGCCGGGCGCGTGTACGTGCATGCCCAAGATCCCGAGAGGAGAATGGAGGAGAAGGGATTGCGGTGTGACCATCCCCCCTGGGGGTGATTTCTCATTTTCTGTCTCTCTGTCTGTCTGGCGAGCACACGCGCCCTATAACAG